TGGTAATTCTCCATCAAGGCTTCGCACTCGGAGAGCCGGAGACCCGTTGCAGGGGCTGGTCGGCGACGAATGGAGCGCCCTTCAGGAGTAGACATGACCACGAGATCCGTACCGAGTCGTGCACGACGACTGGCCCGAGCTGGTCGGGTAGATCTGTTGTGGGGAGTGGTTACCTGCTCGGTAGGTTGATTTTGAATCGAATCTACCAGAGCTAGGGTTTCAGCAAGCTTGATGCCGACTTGATCGATGGAGTCGAGCAGGTTGGTGTTGTCGATCTGCCTCCCTTTGTAGCGAGGAAGCGAACGACGGGTTGTCGGCGTGGCTGAAGATGATGCTAGTGTGGACGGAGCCAGATCCAACGTGGTCGGAGCCGTAGCCGATGCTGGTGAAGCAGTGGTCGACACAGATTGGATCTGCGCCTCCTCCGTGATCATGGCGATGAAGCTGTCGGAGCCAGTGGTCTAGGTGATCTGGCCGATGGTGAACGTGAGGCCGTTCGGCGTAGCCATGGAGCCAGGGATGATGACCATCTTGTTCGGGTATGCCCAAGGTAGTAGATTATCGGCAGACAGGTGCGCAAGCTACGAACGAGATGGTGACGCAAGACAGACACGAGGTTTTATCCAGATTCGGCCGCCGTGAGGGCGTAATACCTACGTCCTGCGTATGATTGTATTGCTGTACTTCAACATGAATCGTGCTGATAGTTTACATGAGGACATTATTATATAGGGGAGTTCCTAGAACACTACCGGTGGATCGATGGTCGCAAGGTGTGGCGGAGAAGAAAAAACAATAGAGGACAGATTGGAAGAAAAATATATATATAAGATATGAGGGAAGGTATGTTTGAAGGGTTATCATCAAGAAATGGCATATATACCTACATTCCACACTAATGCTAGAATGTTCAATCTCGCTATGGCACTATCAAATTCTAGGTGGAGCGAAAATATTTATTACTGGGAGCGAAAATACCCTAAATATGTAACAAAGGTTTCGGATCATAAATACTGGTAAGTGTCGCAAAATTTGGTTCAACTTTTCTATAAAAAAAGCAGTAATTTGATTTATGTACATCAAATAAACAACTGATCTTCTCAAATCGAGAAAAATTGGGAGCTTTCTTGTCTATAATTTCATAAAGTCGTGATTAGCGAAGATAAGATTGCCACGGATCACCACTGTAAGCATATATAGTCTCCAACTATATTCCGTACACTACATACAATACTAGCATATTATATTCTATACCATGCGCAGCTATGATCTACAATGAGGAAGGAATTCTTGGCTGACATTTTGACGAGTCCTGCAAACGAATGTTTCAACATCCCTGAAGATGTGCAACAAATGATAAAAGACTTACACCAAATATAACTTAGGCTACAATATAATAATTGGGTAAAGGTTAAACTACAAAATAACAAATTGAATGTTTTTATGATCATTCTCTAGATAAAACCGTTGTGTTAGCACGGGCATTATACTAGTATATATAATATATCATACTAAAGTCAATATACCAAAATAAATATCACCAAAGTGAGTATCTTTCATATATATATATATATATATATATATATAGAGAGAGAGAGAGAGAGAGAGAGAGAGAGAGAGAGAGAGTATATTCAGTAGTCAGCTATAAAATAAGTTATTCTGTAGCCACCTCCATTTACGATAATTTTATATATTAATTTACGATAACGTCAATACATATTTACGATAGTTGGGTTACTATAACACATGGAGATATTTACCATAACGTTATAGTAAACCACTTAGTGTTAAGTTACTATAATATCATAAATTAACATAGTAATTATCGTAACTCAAAGTGGCTACAGAATAAGTTATTTTATAGCCAGCTACAGAGTAGTAGTTCTATATATATATATATATATATATATATATATATATATATATATATATATATATATATATATATATATATATATATATATATATATATATATATATATATATATATATATATATATATATATATATATATATATATATATATATATATATTCAGTAGCCAGCTACAAAATAAATTATTCTGTAGCCACCTCCATTTACGATAATTTTATATACTAATTTATATATATATATATATTCAGTAGCCAGCTACAAAATAAATTATTCTGTATCCACCTCCATTTACGATAATTTTATATACTAATTTATGATAATGTTAATATATATTTATGATAATTGGGTTACTATAACACATGAAGATATTTACCATAACGTTATAGTAAACCACTTAGTAAGGAGTTACTATAATCTCGTAAATTAACATAATAATTATCGCAACTCAAAGTGGCTACAAAATAAGTTATTATATATATATATATACACACACATATATATATACACACACAGTTTTGGTATATTGCACCTGGGTGCATTCTGTGCACATAATTCACCCAGACAACCCGGTGCGCCTAGTCCATGCAACAGACCGAATCAGCCCACTATTCGAGCGCACCTCCCGCACGTGAACTGTCACCTCGGAAAATGTTATGCGTGCGTCCTAGTTAATTTGTATCATCCATCTACCATGCACAACCACGTTGCATATAAATCCCACCAGACTGCATGCATGCATGGAATCTTTTGTGGGTTAGATTCTTTAAAATAAATTTTCTCTTAAACCATAACCCCAATTAACAAATCGTTTGCTGCATCTTACTCAAAAAAATTTGCTTAACAAAACTAGATTCAATATGGATATATTTTATTATTTTTACAACAAGTTGCATCACTCTGTTACCGATTGTATACTACCGAGTTACAACTAGTTATAACTTTGTGTACCTTTTGCATCTGGTCTTCATAACCGGATTCAATTGCAATTGAGAGTTGGTATCATATCTGATTGTAACTAGAGTAGCAATTGGGTTGCAATTATGTAGTAATGGGTTATATGTACAACTATATAGTAACCGGCTCTGTACAGAATGCACCCAGGCCGATAAGCGAGTCAGAGCGAACTAACCAGTATGCATGCACCCGAGACAACCAATAGCTAATTTGCTACTTCTCACCACTCATGGTTAGCCATGTGCAACAAATACAACTAGCCAGCATGCATGCATGGATGGAATATTTTGTGAGTTCGATTCTTTGAAATAATTTTTGTGCTAAACTGTAACCCCGATTAACAAACCGTTTGCTGCATCTTACTCAAAAAATATGCTTAACAAAACTAGATCCAATATTGATATATTTTATTATTTTTACAAGGAGTTGCATCTCTGTGTGTTACTGATTGCAACTATGTAGCAACTGGGTTGCAACCATGTAGCAACTGGTATACAAACGGAGTTGCAACCAGCCGTCCAGGGCAGTCGCAACTGGCCTACCAACCAGATTCCAACCGGCCTATGTAGGACCCATCGGCATGCAACGCACAAAGCTTAGTTGGTACGTGCATGCATGGTAGCAGGCAGAGCTAGCATGCGCTTCTTGGATGCTTGCCACTGGCCTGGCTCTTGTTTAGTTTTGTTCATCGGTTCATCCACGGATTCACGGTCGTGTCCAACTGTTGCCTTGTGTCGTAGTTGTACTAATCATAGAGATCAGATAGATTCCCTGCTCGCATGTTTGATCAATGTAGATGCGTGTGATGCCTGGCCTGCCTGCCGAGACTCACCGCATGCATTCCCAGTAGTGTTATTTGCTATAAGCAACTCCCGTGTGTGCGTGCCTGACTGTTTTAGTTTTTTTTCCTTTTTATTTTTTTTCCTTCCAGTGAAGTTCTTTCTTTCTCTTTCTCTCGCCCTATACATCATTTGTACGTGAAGTCCCTGAGGATGGCTCAATGCTTTGTCGAGTGGAAATAGAACTACCATTGACACACTTTCCTTGCTCACTGCGGCAATTTTTCTTCTGAGCACACCGACAGCCAACCCAAACATCTGCCTATGAGCAAACAGCTTTACAAGCAATTTGGTGCCAGCGTCGTCCGGTGCACAATGAATGAAGGAACGTGAGCTGCTGAGCCAACCTGAGACAGTTCATTGAAAATGTTTCTTCTACCTGCTTGCTTGCTTGTTTACTGTACATGAGTTCATTGAAAATGTTTCTGCTAAATAGGCTACAACCAAGTTGCAATTGTGTTGCAGACCTGCTTGCAACTCATTGTACAACTTAGTTGCAATTACATACTTTTAAAAAAATTAACAAATATAGCCTTCATGGATCTCATTTTGTTAAGCACATTTTTTTCCGAAGAACCTACTTCAAACCGATTCAAAAACGGATCAGTGGTTTAGGAGATATCACATTTTTTCGAATCGAATCAAGAAAAGATTCCATCCATGCATGCATCCTGGTGGGTGGGTTGACCTGTGAGGTGGCATCACGTGGTTGGTTGTGTCCATTTAATTTTGCATGCACGAGCACAGGTTTGGCAGGAAAATATGGGGAGGGTCCTGCGGGCGTGCGCTGGCGCGTGGATCGCAGGGTTAGAGAGGGTCTGTGCACTCATTGCATGGAATGCGACTGGCCTACCACACGAGTCGCAACTGGTCTACCACTAGAGTTGCAATTTGTGTACGACTGAAGTTGCAATCGGCTGATGGGCTGAGTTGGAACTGGTATATAAACGAAGCTGCAACCAGCCGTCCAGGGCAGTTGCAACTGGCCTACCCAACCAGAATGCAACTGGCCTATCACCAAGGTTGCAATTTGTGTACGACCGAAGTTGCAATCGGTTCAAGGGATGAGTTGCAACTGGTATACAAACGATGCTACAACCAGCCGTCTAGAGCAGTCGCAACTGACCTACCCAACAGGAATGCAATGAGCCTGAGCAGACACCCAGAATTGTGTCCCTGCCGTCAGAATCATACAATCGTCATGTCCGTTATGGTGCAGCTCTAGCTGTTGGAATCTCCTGTGCTTGAACAAGATTGAGTGAAGCCATCTCCTTGTTGTAGCCTCTTACATCAGACGTCGTTGACTTTGTACGCTAGGGCGCTCTGATTGCCATGGCAATGGTGATGATCCAGACCAATGAATCTTATGATTCACGTGTTGGAGCATTCAGGCGCAAGTTGGAAAAAATCATTCTTGACAAGCACGAGGACACCAAGAGCAAAATGGGCTGGTGGTAGGAACGTCACCATCAGGCGCCATACTAGCTTCTGGCATCATTGATGCTGGTGGTAGGAACGTCACCATCAAGCTCAAGTCAAAGTCAAAGCAAGACAGGCTCGCTACCGTTGTCGGACTGCTTGTCTTCACCCAGTTCTGGTACTGGTACCCACTCACCTACTTCATCAGCCTTGCCTTCTCCCTGGCAGCTCTCATCGGACTTAGCTCCGATCTGAAAGTGCCGAAGTTTGAGTTCCTGTCGAACGCCAAGCCATCGCTGTTCGATTATCCCAAGCCGACAACTCAGCGGACTGCAACTGCATCAGTCAAGGTGCCAACGGCTATCTTGTCAATGTATGCCAAAGCAAAGTCTAGGGCGAAGAAGGATGCAGAGAGCAAGGCAAAGGAGAAGGCAGAGGTGATGCCACCAAGCGAGGACGCTTCTGCTGCTTCTACTTCCATGCAGGTAAGCCCGAGTAGCTGCAACTACGAGATTTCCTTGCATATGCAGATGTGTTGAGCACTGGTCAGTGACAGAAAATCAATTCCCATGATTTCTTAATCTATGAATTGATCCCTGCCGCATTGAGTCCCACCAAAAGCAGCAGCTCATCGTGGCCACGACGCTGTGTGCCTTCAAATTGACACGGTGTCTTCAAAAGCAACTGCTATGGCATGTGCATGGCTTCCTAGTGTAGTCGTAACTGGTTTTATTGTCCTAGTTGCAATTGGAGGACTTGACCAGTTGCAATTGCTACAGTTGTAACTAGATTAGTGACCCAGTTGCAACTGCGGTGGCATGTGCATGACTTCCTAGTGTAGTCGTAACTGGTTTATTGTCCTAGTTGCAATTGGTGGACTTGACCAGTTTGCAATTGCTACAGTGTAACTAGATTAGTGACCCAGTTGCAACTGCGGCGGCATGTGCATGACTTACTAATGTAGTCGTAACTGGTTTATTGTCCTAGTTGCAATTGGTGGGCTTGACCAGTTGCAATTGCTACAGTGTAACTAGATTAGTGAACGGGGGCAGGGCCAATTAGCAATGCAGCTTCTTGTTGTACTTGCAGGTCACGGGGGCAGAGATAGGATTCGTTCTCGTCTCGTCTATGCATGCGACTCCGTGACGCGAACAGAACTGATCGAACTCAATCGATCTCTGCATCAACTACAAGTCTGCAACTACACCTTAAATGCAGTTTCCTGCGTGCATGATGCAGTACAGATGGTCAGATGCTGTTGCTTTGTTGGTTTAGCTCTCCCTCGATCTTGTCACATGGTTCATGATCGAGAAGCCCCTAGCTTGTATGGAGTACTAGGCTGTTGGTTGCCCTCGATCTTGTCAGATTGGCCGAAGTGCAATCACGATCCAGCGCACTTGTAAATGGGTTTCTCTCCACATGCATGCATGCACTGGATCTAAGACTGTCTCCAGTAGGTGACTCATATGGGTACCTAAACCCAAAATGGGTAGCAGGAGATCTAAAACCAGCCTCCAACAGAGTACCTATACGGGAGACCCATTTTGGGTTGCCTGAGAGGCACACCCCAAATATGAGTATCCTCTCTCCTGAAAACCCATTTGCAGAAATGATTCTCTTTTGGGTCTTGTTGTTGGAGAAGATGTCGAATGGATATTAAACCCTTTAACTGTAGCGCTATCCAAATATTAAATGGGTCTTATATTTTGGATGTTGTTGTTGGAGATAGTCTATACGAGTACTCGGTTGTCCATGCCATGCCATTAATTGGTAGCGGGCAAAAGCACTAATGACTGACGAGCGAGGTTGAAGGCGGGTGTATGTGTGTATACATGGCGGACCATCAGCGCAGGCAAATGGATCCAAATAGTAAGACCGGTCGGCGGGCGGATGCAGCCGCTAACTATGTAGTTGCAACCAATAGTAATTGTGCAGTTGCAATCAATAGTAATTGTGGAGTAACGAGTTGCAACCAGTGCTAACTTGGGTTGCAACTGGGCAGTACATAGTTGCAACTAGTACCAACAAGAAAACAACTAGGTTAGCCTTGTGCAACAAAAAACAGCCAGCATGCATGCATGGAATTTTTGGAACAATTTTTCTTCAAAACCGTAACCCTGATTGACATACCGTTTGTTGTGTTGTACTCAAAAAAATATGCTTAGCAAAACTAGATCTAATATGTGTATATTTTTTATCTTTTAAACGAGTTGCATATCTGTGTACTAGCGATTGCAACTTTGTCTACTACCAAGTTACAACTAGTTATAACTCGGTGTATTATTTGCATCTGCTCACTATAATCACGTCAAGTTGCAATTATATCTGGTTGCATCTGCTCACTATTTAGTAGGAGTTGCAAGCGTATCTAGTTGCAATCAGTGTAGTAATTGTGTTGCAACAGAATATTGACTAATTGCAACTAGAAGTAACCGGGTTACACTAGGTTATAACTAGTTGCAAGCAGTGCTACTTAGGCTACAACCAAGATGCAATTATGTTGTAGTTGTGCTTGCAACTCATGCTATAACACAGATGCAACAACATATTAAAAAAACTTCATCAAATATAGCCTTCATGGATCTCGTTTTGTTAAGCACATTTTTTCCAACAACCTAGTTCAAACGGATTTAAAATCGGATCTGTCGTTTATGAGATATCGCATTTTTTCATTTTGAATTAAGAAAAGATTCCCTACATGCATGCTTCCTAGTTGGTGGGTTAACCTGTGATGTGGCATCACATGGTTGGTTGTCTCTATCTATTTTTTGCATGCACAAACGTGGAGTTTGTTAATGCGAGGACCAGCTGCTGTGCGGTACACGTGGAATCTGGTTCGGGCCGGTACGTCTCTGGCTCGCCGCTCGCATTCGCGGTCGGGTGCATTTGCTGCACAGAATGCACCCAGGTGCATTTTAGCCTTGTCCTATATATATATATATATATCAAATTGTATCAAAATAAATCATAAAGCAAATACTAGTCAGATCGAATAGATATAGTTAGCCAATTAGCTTAAGTTAGGGGTGAGTGCTTGGTTTCACACAGCATGAAGGGATGAGAAAGGGGTTGCAAAACGAGTATTATCACTAGGCGGCAGACGAGGACGAGGACGAGGATGGCCGGAGACGAGGACGAGGGTGCCGCCGCGCGCGCCGGGGAGATGAGGACGAGGGTGAGGCTGGCACGACCGGAAACGAGCACTACTAGAAATATCCACTTCTATGACGATCAACTTTCGCCACTGCAGGAGCCAAATTCGTTATAATTTCAGTTTTATGACGAATCTATGATGAAAATGGTTCGTCATAGAAGTCGCGTCATTCTTGCAATTCTACGACGATTCTAGAAAATCGTCATAGAATTGGATAGATCTATGATGAAAATTGATCATCATAGAACTGCTTTGGCATGCGTGGCAAGGGGTAGCCACGCTGGTGGTTGCTTCCATTGGAGATGCTTTCCACGTGTATTTGCTATAGCCGGTTGCATTGGAGATGGTTTGGGTACATTGCCATCTCTGGTTCTTGCACGTTTCAGGTTCTTAATGGACCACGTGTCGGCCATTGTTGTTCCACATGTCAGTTTTCAATTGGCACATGTGTCGTGTTGTGGTTGGGTCACGTATCACTTCTTCATTGGACCAAGTGTTGCATTTTTATTGGTCCACGTGGCGTGACCACAATACCCCACGTGTCTTTCTTTTACTCGACCACGTGTCTCGATGTTGTATGTCCGCGTGTCAGTATTTTATTTGACCACGTGTCGCACCCTGAGCTACCCACGTTTGTTTTTCTGATTCGATCACGTGGTAGGATGGATTTGTACCATGTATTTTATTTGTATTGGCCCATGTGCCCTATCATGGTTGTTACACGTGTCATTCATTGGTTCATCCACGTGTCAGATTCTTATTTAACAACATGCCTGTGCCGAATCTACCACGTGCACACCAATCATTACATCAGAGAAAATGATTTCAGATCTACACTGCTGCACAAAATGACTACATGCATAATTATATTGAACCTGAATGAAATAACAGTAGTTCAGCTCAGCAGCAAACCACTGACAGAGTTCACATATCAAGCAGTCAAAATTTCACATCAAAACAGCAAACAAATCACATGTTCACTACATCAACAAGACTGAGAGTTATCAGCGCTTAAGAGCATGATATGCTCACAGAGCTTATTGTACTTCTCCTGTTGTTGTTTCTTGAACTTCTCGAACTCACTATCAGTGTTTTTTGCCTTCCTCTTTAGTTGATCCACTTGTTTGGTGAGGACAGTTGAACTTTCCTAATGAGCAGCAAGCCATTCCCGAAGTCTGGAGCAGCTTGTCCTGATACCAGCATTCTTCAAAGAAAAGGTGTTGCAGCTAGCCTAGGAGAGGACCTTAGAAACAACATCAGCAATAGGTTCTACTCGTATAGTTTCCATAGCTTCCTGCAAAAATCAAGGAGTAAACATTAGGAAGAGGACTTAAATTGTAGAACCAAGAGATTATTTCAGTACAAGTAATGCATAAGTGTTCCTCAGCCTACTACCGATAGAGATTCATAAGCACAATGCATAGGTAACATATTAACTATTGTAATATTATAACTTCAAAATGATGGTGCCACTTTAGGCTCCTCCTACTTTTCCTTCTTTTATGCCAATAGCTTTAGCAGATTTTAAGGAAAGCAAATGAAGGTACTTACCACTGCTTCTCTTGTAGCATCGCTTAGTCCCGTGTTGCTACTGGTATGGAAGTTGTTGAAGATTCCCACTGCATCAACATCTTCATGAGGTCGATCATGTTCTTCAACGATCACTTCTTGATCGTGTCCTATGTCCTTCCTATTTTTGTCCTTCTGTTAAAATTGCACATGCCTTTCTATTGACACAAAAGGCATTGCGTATTTGATATAAAAAGAGTAACACAACCATCACTTACATATGCTTGTAGGTGGGCAATATAGGAGCGAGATCCTATAACCTGGTGGCACTTAACTTTTGCACGGTTTCGCTTGTTCTGCTCAAAGACTGCCTATAACCACAATTGTGTTAGACTGCAGTACAAGTAGACCACATAAAGACTAGACAAGAAATAAATGAGTTCACACACACACCCCTTGTTCTTGGAACTTAACCACATATGGACAAGTGCACACCACTGTGTGTCATTCATGCAAGACACATGAGAGGTCTTTGAAGTAAGATCGCTTGAACTTAACCAGCGGGGACGTCGTTAAAGTAAGATCGCTTGAACTGTACCGTGTCTGCTGTACAACATACTGTAATACACTCATGCATGCTTCTTTTGTTGCTTCATCATTGTCATCAATGGCCAACCTCAACTACAGAAGTGTGAATACAAATTAAATCCATTACTTGGTTGCTCAAGGCAAAGTTGAATGCCAACAGAGGATATACATACTTACAGATAGCTTGGCCACAAATCCATTGATAAGTTCGATCCGTTGCTTGTAATGTTTTTAGTGTGGGAAAATTGGTACATGAGACCTGACTACTACACTTGCCTCTAAGGCAAACTTGGCAGCTTGCAATGGATCATGTGGCCTTCTGTTCCCCTTAACAACCGAGATGGGCATCCTTGTTCCCATTGATTGGGTGGTTTTGTGAAGCCCAATCCCCTTAGTTGCTTGCCTCGACTTCCTCGCTCTTCTCTGCAATGGTACTACATAGTTTTCATACATTCAGATTGTTAGAAAAGTAACATGGATATCAAATAGTGTGACTTGATTTATAGACATGTCTAAGGTAGTACCAACCTTCGCAAGTTTGGTCATTCTGCTGGTGGGGAGGTGGAGTCTCCTCTTCGGCATGGCTAAGATCATCTTCACGTGACCAGTCCCTCACAGGGCTTTGTTTGCCTTGTGCGTGACCTAGTTGGAACTACGAGATGTTGCAACTCTGCTGGACTAGTTGGCTTCACTCTCTTTGAGCAAAAGACAGAGAAGATAGAGAAGAGCGGTTTCCGCGCTCTTACCTCTCTCGTAGATTTATGGCTAAACCAGGCACATTGGGCTCTCCAGGTTTTATGCAAATTTAATACAAATTTAATTGCTGTGGATTTCCAAGCAATAGGTTGCAGTGGGTGCAGTCAGAAAAAGAGTAATAGATATTGTCCAGCATGTT